CACTCAAATATGTTCCAAACAATTGCAACTCATAGATAAGCAAATGAGTGGGAAGTTAGAACTCCCTAAAATTGCTCACAGGTCAGAGATCAAAGCCTTTTATTTTGGTGTGATTAAGCGCTATTCATTCAGCCTTTGCAGGATTGACTGACTCATTTCTTAGTTACTGTTATGTGCAAGAGTTGACATTAGTTCGTTAGCCTTTACCCTACCAAAGCATAGTGGAAAATATCTTTATTCCTGCCACATGCAAATATGTATTTGCATTTACCAGAATGAAAAAGAAAGCAAAACATATCAATACCAACCAACACTAGGAGCCAGGCTAAGCTATTTACACATATTATGTTCTTCCTAAAATTAAGTATTTCTAAAGGGAAAAGAGTTTGAACAATAAAAATTTAGAAAATAACTAATAAATGTCCTCAGTGAGTAAACATGTCCATTTATCTTAGTACCACAGCAAAGATTTGAAACTTTATATAAAGACAGCAACTTCAAAATAAGATGTGAGCAAAGCAAAAAAGGTTATCTAGTAAAATGGAGAATTATTTTTTAGCACTGAAAGTTCAGATAACACACACCACACACACACACACACACACACACACACACAAAAGCCCAAAAAAAACCCTCAACGGCCTGACCTTCTCTTCCTTGTGTACTTTGTTGTCATTAGAGTTATCTTCATATCATTCAGGTTATGGTGTCAGAAGTGAAGCCAGCTGGAAATCTGAGGAAGAATTGGATAACAAAACCACTAATTACTTGGGCAACTTGTACCTCTGGTTTAAAAAATAAAGTCATTATTAGAAATCAGTTGCTAAGGAGTTGCCAAAATAAATTTTAAAAACAGAGTCAAAACATTTATTAAAATATCTTCAACCATGCATGTGAAAAAACAACTTTTTGATTATGAAAAGGCTATGATGAAGGAATTGGAGTAACATGTTTGAAAAGTAAGTAAGCACATAGATGGAATATGTCTTCTAAAGCCATTTACTGCTGGACACTACAGAGCAATACAAAGCTCGCTGCATTATTTCTGTCCCTTGCCCACTGCAGTTTCTGACTTATGGTGCTGATGAGGAGTTCAGTGCAGAACAAGAAAGTCAGGCCGATGGGCCGAAGTGTGTATAGACAGCGAGACACAAAAGCCCAGGCTGGGGACAGGCAAGCAACCTGAGGCATAGAGGCTGTCAGTTTTTACAACTCGATGTATAGGTGCTAAAGACTTTCCTGTAGAAAGTTTGATTTTAAGCAAACTAAAATGACACTTGCAAATTTCACGTGGTAAATTTGTCACTGTAAATAACAAATATGTATTAAACCAGGTCAGGAATTGTTCTCTGCACACTGGACATTGTACAGTAGTGAATAAAACCTGTTTTCACCTTCCAGTCTGCAAGTGAGGAGGACAAGCGGTAAGTAAACACATAACTGCAGGGTGGTGATCAATGGCAGAGTGAAGCGGAACAGTCAGTGCAGGGCATGTGGAGGTGGTGCCACTTTTGGACTTGCTTGAGAGCTTGAGTATTTAAAAATGTGTATGAGGAGATTAAGAGAATATCAAACAATGGGACTAAAGGGGTCCATGAACTTGCAAACAGGTCAGTAAAAATTAGAAGCAATGAAAAAAATCATAAAAGTAAGAAAATTAGCAGATTCTAAATGACCAGAGGATCATATCAAGCATAACACACAAGGAATTGGCATCCCAAAAAGTAAGTACAAATTATTGGAGGAGAAAAAATATGTTTAAATGTAATGACCATAAGTCACCTAAATCTAGTGAAAAATAAACCTAAAGATCCAAGAGGCTCAGTAAGCCACAAGCAGGACATATTAAGAAAATCACAATGACAGTTTACTATCAAACTTCTCAAAATGAAAGAGAAAGAGAAATTTTAAAACAGAGAAAGATTAAACAAAATGTGGCATAAAGTATGGAATAAATGTGGAGCCGGGGACAGAGTTCACTGATAGAGTACGAGCCGCAAAAGCACAGCCCTTGTTTTATCTTTAGTGCTGAAGAAACAAAGGTATAGAAACTAACATACAACAAACAGTGAAAACCAGAAAAAAACAAATTAATACTGTGAAGTATTGAAAGAAATGATGCAACCAAAATTTTATCTAGTGAAAATATCTTTGTAAAATAAGATTCAATAAATGTTTTCAGATAAATAATAGGTGAGAGAGCTATCACAAATAGATCCTCCTCAACATAAATGCTAAAAGATATTCTTAGATAATGAAAATTGGTTCATATACAGAGAGAGATGTGAATGTCATGAAGAAGTAAAGAAATTAAGCAATGCAAATACCTGAATAATTATAAAAGTATGTTTAAGAGAAATCGAGGCTGGGGATATTGCTCAGCAGCACAGTGCCTGCCTGACAAGCGCAAGGTGGTGAGTTTGATTCCTGATACCAAAAAAAAAAAAAAAAAAGAGGGAAAGAAAAATTGACAGTTTAAGTAAGTAAAACTTGAACCAAAGATTTGAACAGACACTTCAGCAAAAACACACACTAATAACTAATTAAGAACATGAAAAATTCTCATTATTAATATTTTTCAGGGAAATGCAAATTAAAACCACAATGCGTTGTCACTAATAATCTACTAGATTGACCAAAATTATAAAATCTGAAAATTTCAAGTGTTAGCAGGTATTTGATAGCTTGAAAACTCATGCACACATTGTTACTGCTGATATGAAGAGGTTCAGTTGGTTTGAAAAAGTGGTGTTCTCTGATAAGCTCATGTACCTAAGACCAGTTATTTCCACTCAAGTGTTCAACTGAAGAAATGAAAATGCATGACAACAAAGTGACTTGTTTGGAAATATGTTCCAGGAAGCTACATATACATTGCTTTTAAACTGCGAACCACCCAAACTCCAACTGAGAGAACAAATAGGCAAACTGTCTAGTCACACGATGGAACACTGCTCAAAGGGACAAACCAGAAATTGAGTTTGAAAACACTGCGTTAAGCAAGAGAAATCAGAAGTAAAGGAACAGTATGTATGGATTTATTTATATAAAGTTTAAGAGCAGTAGAGATAAACTGATAGAGATCAGAATGTAGCTCCTTGAAATTGGAACAAAAGCTCACTGGAAATGCCAGGAGGAAACTCTGCAAGCTCAGGAAAATGTTCTATATTTTTCTCTTGGCTTTTATGGTGCAAAACTTCATAGCACACAGCCCTGGTCACATTGTCATTAGATTTTGTTGGTCCCCTGGGTGGCCTTTTCCTCTGGACAAGCTCTGCTACATAGGCGGACCCTGCTGGCTCTGAGCTGGAACTCCTGGGCTCTCTTCCATGGGGACCCTCCCCTGCAGCAGCCCAGCTCACCCCATTCACATTTTCCTCCAGATTTGAAGCGTATCAAGTTCCAATGCACTGGCAATTGTCAAGTCTTTCCTTTGTCTCATTGTTATTATCCCATTGGCAGAGCAAATTATGTGGTCAAACTTGGGTTCACTGATGGGAAAGCAGGTCCCATCTTTTGAAGAACCAAGCTGCTAAATACGGGGATGAAAAGAACTTTTTTCAATCTCTATCCTTGATTAAAATATTTATGTCATGGGTACACATTGTACACATGTAGACTTAAAATTGGTAAGCTTTATTACATCTACCTTTTATCTACACATAAAACTACTAAAACAAAAAAAGACAACGTATGTATGCTGGAGGTGGTAGCAATAATATATTATGGTTTATGACTTATCACTCACCACGCATGTGGTAGCAAGAAATTGGAAACTCTGACTGAATAGATTCAAACACTAAAGAGGGTTTATCATTTCATAATGAAAGGATCACTACAGTTCAGGTGTGGGCTGTGCAAGGCCCAGCACCCAGTTCTTCAGTTCCTCCTCCTGTCTGTCTTCTTCATGTCTGAGTAGTTGCTTTCTCCTAATTATTATTTTTCATGATACTGAAACAGCTACCACCATCTTAGGCCTTACATCTGCACACTGTGCAGAAAGAAAAGTACATGAAAATTCTCTTCTATCAACCAGCAAACAGAAGTCAAGTATTGCATTCAAATTGGACACAACTTACATCCTAAGTTGAGATCATTACTAAAAGAAACCTCAGTTGCATGCTTCTCTATGAGACTTTCCTCATGCCCAAGAGAAGACCTGATCAGGGTAATGTGAAGAAAGACCCAACTTTTAAGATAGGTCTTAAAGTTAGCAGTGTGTTAACTCTACCCTAACCTCCCAGCAGCCAGCCAGGATAGAATTAATGCTGTGAAGGCAACCAAATTACAGAGTATATAAGTTTCAGAAACTGTAATACATACAGGAAAATAATCCAAACTGAGTAAATGAAGTAAAAAAAAAAAAAAACCCAGAAAGAAAGGAGATTTTAGACTAAGTATGGCAGAATCTACCTGTGATCCTAAATACTCAGGAGAGTGAAGCAGGAGGATCCAAGTTACAGGCCAGCCTGGGCAATTTAGACTGTTTTAAAATAAACAATAAAAATGTTAAAAGGGGTGCTAAGGATATAGTTCAGTAGTAGGGCATCCCTGGATTCAAGCCCTAGTAATTCAGAAAACAGGAGTTTTTGGAATTTGATATAATTCATAGCAGAAAATAATGAGGGGTAGAAAGATGATATAGTCAGGTGGTAGAGCACCGGCTCAACATGCAACAGCCCTAGGTTTGATCCCAGCACTGAAAAGGAAAAAAAGAAGAAAGAAAGAGAGAAAGAAAGAAAAAAAGAGAGAGAGGAGGAAAGGAGAGAAGAATAAGGGGAAAATGCTGGGTTTACATTATTTTTAATCTCACAGAACATGATCTAACAGAGTAAAATACGAAAGATCAGCATGGTATGAAAATTGTTATTTTTATTAGTTTTTTTTTTTTTGACAAATAAGTGTAACTCCCTAGCTGAGACTTCCTTCATCCTGGGGCACCTAACCTGCACCTGTTTGTTGTTATGTTGCTATAGAGCTGCTCTGAGGCGAACGTCTGGGCTCTGAGTTATTCCCACTCTTCAACACTAACATGGTTTATTCCCAATCTACGGTTTTCTTACTGCACAGTATTTCACACCAGCTACTGCTGTGCTGGGACAACTCTGAGACTCTGAAAGCCAGGTAAAAACTTGAGAAATCTGCTTAGGGAAGCTATTATGTTCTCCTCCTAGATGTTTATTTTTATCTTGTGGCTCTTTATGAGGGAAAATAGAATGGCAGTGTTGTTGATTTATTACATTAGCACATTTGCAGGATTGGTACACATAGTAACACGTTTTAATTCATTTTTACCGACTTCCTCTCCCCTCCCTTGGTCTTTTGATCTCCTTCTTTCTGCCTGATGGACCCACAGAGAGATTCCAGGCTCTTGTGTAGGACGTGTGAAGAATTGCAAAGCACACACTCAAAGGTAGCAGAAAAGCAGCTACACTGATTGAAGATTGCAGTGAGATTGCTTGGGAAGGCTCACACCAGCAGAAAGGAAAGGGTGGAGAGAGCAGAAGAGCTGGGTTGGGGGCAGCAAGGACATAACAGGTAAATTGGGCTCTGGAAGTTTAGAGGACATGTACCCCATCCTGGGGCCTGTTGCCAGCTCCCTGGGTGAGACTGACAGGAATGACTGGAGGTGTAGAGTCATCTCTGGGGCTTTTGATGAACATCAGTGTCCCAAATTCAATCTGATTAAATCATAGACATGAGGTGCAGCCCATATTCATGATCATTGCTGAGTTTGCAGTGGGAGGAGGTGACTGAAGGTTGATGCAGGATGTCGAAAGAGCACGCACTCTGGCCTGGGGCTGCAGGGGTTTCCTGGGTCTTCCTTATTTTATTTTCTGCATCTCTCAGAACAGTGCAAGGACTGGCCTTTGAGTGCTTTCTAAACTCAAGCTGGTGGAAGGGGTGCACTCCCAGCCCCCCACTGTCTATCTGTGCTGTCCCCACTTCCTGTTATAGCTTTCATTTTGTTCTTTATTTATATTTTGTGTTTCTCATGTAAGAAGAGCACTTTTTTGACATTTCCACTTTCTATGGTGTATGTCTGAGCTTCTACCAACTGAAAACCATGTTTTTGGCTTAACATTCATCATTTGAGAATTGCAAATGCTATGGAAAAAGAAATATACTAAGCCTTAGCAGTCATTTATATTCCAGTGGGAAAAAGATCTTCATAAGCAGGAGAGGAGGTGTAGAGAAGGGTCCTGAGGGTGCGAAGACAGTGGGGAATCCTAAGCGTTTTCAGAGATCCTGTTCTGATACAGGAGAATACACCTCCCAACATGTTTGATGTCAGATGTGTGAGTTCTGGTCCCTAACACTGATCAGTGAAGTCATTAATGAAAGGAAGAAGTTAGGAGCATTTTACTGGAATTGAGGAGAACAGCTCTTGGATTTCCAGGAGGGGCCCTCAGTGCATAGGACAGGGTCTTTGTCAGGAGTAATTTATACAGCAAAGTCACAACCTGGGTTCAATATCCATCAAATGACAACCCATGTATAGAAGTACAGGTATAGCAGCTTAAGTAATATCTAACAGGGAAATGAGTCACATAGTAAGAGTATATGGAAAGAACAAAGGCATTTTGAGAACAGGATGGGTCCAGATGCTTTGGCCACCCACCTGGGTGACAGATACCAATCTGGATTTACTGGACCATATGGTGCTAATTTTAGTATCAACTCAAGTTGTTGTTTATCCCTTAGGGAGGCATGGAGGCCTGGCCATTGCATCTCTGTCTGGAGGCCTAGCCTTCCTCAGATGTGTCTTTGGCTACAATTCTAATGTCTTCATTTTTGTGCTGACTTTCTTGAGAGCCTTGTCCCTCTCTGACTATATATTAATTTCTGTCTAACTTAGCTGTCTCTATTACTTCCACTACCAGGGATTCCTTGAAAGAAAAACTACAGTAGACAAGATAAACAATATTTGCTTTATAATTGTGCAGAGTGTATACCTGGATGGTATCTCAGCAGTTTTAATGACTGGAAATAAAGAAGCACTGGTATATTATCTTAGAAGGACAATGATACAGTTTATATCTAAATGTCTCCACACAGCCTCATGCGCTCATAGGTGAGGTTTTTGGGAGGTGACTGGATCAAGGGGGTGTGACACTCATCATTGGATTAGTCCATCTGTAAGTTTAGTATAGCTAGATGTGATGTTGTGAGGTGAAGCTTTGTTGGAGCAGGTGGTCACTGGAGCATGACCTGGAAGGATCTATGTCTTTCCCCCTTCCTCTGACCCCTCTCTTCTTCCTGCTGCCATGTCATGAAGTATTTCTCTTCTCCCAGCCACTCTGTCTTGGAGCCAGCAGACTATGAACTGGACCCTCTACAGACTGTGAGCAGAAATCAACCTCTCTTCTTTTCACTTGTGGATGTGGGGGATTATGTTTCCAGGAAAACAAAGTAACTGAGACAGATTTTGGTACCAGAACTAGGGTCACTGTCGTAGTGCTACCCAACCATATGGTTCAGAAACCTTTGGAACTAGCTTGCGGAAAGAGTTTGGAAAGGTTTGGAAATTCCACCTGGAGAAGCAGCCCTGGAATGATGTACATCAAGTCTGATGGGAGATTGTTCTCAGAGCTCAGAAGACCACATTACTGATAGAAATGCAGCCAATAAAGAACAGGCTCAGGAGGCTTCAGTTGAGAAGAAAGACTGCATTGGCAATTGAACACCAGGCCATGTGGGTTATGCTCTGTCTGAAAATTTATTGCATTTTGCTCATGTCCAGAGACATTGTGGGAGAATGAGATTAAGGGAGATGGACTAATTAGTGTTGCAGAAGAAATTTCAAGGAAGTCTAGTGCTGAGCTTGTGGCATGGCTATTGTTGGTCAGTTGTACCGTAATAAGAACAAAAGGCAGAACTGGATGATTTTAAAAGTTTGACTTTCACCAGAAAGGAAGCTCCTGTACAATTGTGGCTTGCAAAGATGAAGTAGAGGAGAACTTGTTTGCTGAAAAGATTTGCATTAAAAAGAAGTTAAGTATTTTGGAACCGGACTATAGAAGAAAAGGCCTAGAGGCAATGTGAGGAAACAACGCTCAATCCTTTGGCAGCTGAAAATTGTGAATGTGAAAGAATTTACTTTGAGAAGAGAGCCCAGAGCACTGAGTTCCAGAACTGTGGTAGCCTAGGGAATTTGCTGCTGGGGATTTGGCTCATCATGTAAAGTAACCCAGACACTTGACCACAACATCAAGAAAGAAGGAAGCCTGGCTACTGCTGCAGCTGACAGCAACTGTGGCTTCATTCACATGATGCCAGTTTCAGGCACAGAAAGCAAGAGTTGTGGGGTCAGGAAGGTTTCCACCCAGATTTTGGAAAAAAAACTGGGAGGCCAGGCAGTGTGTCCCTGAGAGGGCAGTGAAGCTGTGAGTGTGAAGCTGAAAGTGCAACGGAGACCCCAAAAGGTTGAGAAGCAAGAAATGCGAATCATCTGAGGAAAACTGCAGGGAGTGAGCAAAGCCACCCAACCAGAAGAGCCATGAGGTTTACAACCGACCATGCTGTAGGGACAGAACCACCCAAGCCCTTTGGTTGACAGCTTGCTACAGATTGCCCTGGATGCTGGACATGGAGCTACAGATTTAATGTTTGCTCTGCTTGGTTTCAGTCTTGCTTTAATTCCATTCCTTTCTGTCCCCCTATTTGTACCTTCTGGGATGAACATGTTTATCCTGTGCCATTGTATGTTGGGGGTGATTAATATTTTTCATTTTACAGGGGCTCACAGCTAAGAGTTTGCCTTAAATCTCAGAGGGTACTTTGAACTTAGACTTTTTAGCAATACTGAAACTGTTAAGACTTTGGTAATTCTGAGAGATGGACTAAGTTCATTTTGCATAAAGAAATATACATGAGTCTTTTTTGGGCTTGGGCAGAATGTTATGGTTAATATCTAGTTGTGTCCTCAAAGCCTCCTGTGCTCATAGGTGGAGCTTTGGGAAGTGAGCGGACCATGAGGGCTGATACTTATTGCTGGCTTAGTCCACTGCTGAGTTTATAGCTAGTTGTGATGCTGAGACTGAAAGCCTGTTGGAGGAGGTGGTCACTGTAGCCATGACCTGGAAGGGTCTCTCTTCTTCCTTCTTCCCTTGATCCTGCTCTCTGCTATTCATTGCCATATTATGAAGTATTTACCATCCTCCATGCCACCCTGCTCTGGACTATGGACTTAACCCTCTACAAATGGTGAGCCAAAATAAACCCTTCCTCCTTTAAATTGTAGGGTAAGGTACTGTGTCTCAGCAAAGAGAAAGTAACTGACACAGATAAGAGGCCATCATGGAACAGGGAAAATGTCTTCCCTGGGAAGCCTGGAAACCTGTCTTAAATATCAACTCTGCCACTTTCTGCTTACTATAGTCCAGGCAAGTTACTTGACCTTTTTAAACCTCCATTTCTATATTTGAAAATTAGGGATAATAAAACTTACCTCAGAGTATAATTACGACAATTAAACTGCAAGATATATGAGCAACCCTACATCATGTTATTCTAATATTAATGTCACTGAAGTAACTACTGTCACAGTGGTTGGGAGAAGGTGAACAAAAGGATAAAAAGGAGGAAGAATGCATTCTTGTACCTATAAGTTTTTAAGACAGGAAAAATCTAAAGCATTCTTTATATGCCTACTTTTATATCCAACATGACAGATAAGAGCCAGTGCAAAAGATTTAATTTTTATCTTTATGAGCTACACAGTGCCACCAAGAAGGTAGGGCATATAGTGATTTGTGCAGAAAATTAGCAATACAAAGCCAGTATCTATTAAGGTTAGGGCTGTAACTGGTTTGAAGTTTAGGGGTCAGGTAATGTTTCATGGAGAAAGCAACTCATTTTCCCCAAAAGACTGTTAGATACAAGAGAGTATAGTCATCTTGCCTGAGAGCCAAGTGATAGATGACCTGGGATCAGAACCAAAGAGCCCTGGCTGGTGTAGTGTCCCTTCAACAAGGAAGAAAACCAGGCTGTTCTGTCCTTGAGAGGTGAAGACCTGGTGCCCTTTCATGTGCTTATCCTCATCTCTTGAGCAGGAACCTCCACCCTAACGGGCAGCCCCGCTACTAACCAAGCAGATCCCAGCAGCAGACTTTCCTAACCCT